GGGGTCAGACATGCAAGCTCAAATATCACATAATTTCTATTATATGAGAAAATACATATACAAATATAGAGCAAAATAAAAGAGACATACGGGAAATAGCAAGAAGTTGAAATACTTTCCCAAATTACAGATTCCATTGTGTTAAAAATATTTCAATATATATGCGAATTTGTTTCATTTATTTATTTATTTTTTAGGGGGTGGCCCCAGACAATTTTATTTCTCATTCCCTGAACCTCAGCTGCCTCATGAGTAGCACCCATTTCATAATGATTAAACACATTAATGCAACAACAGTATGTGCCTGGGCCATGCTATACCTTCAACAAATGTCAGTTGTCAGCTGCCTTTATTTACATGCCCCTGTCACCACAGGGATGGAAGGTTTAACAGAGAAAGTAGGTTTTAGCCCCCCAGGACATATGGGCTGCCCAGTTTATCCTTAGTCTCCACAGGTGTTCCATCCTGGAGAGCTGCTAGGCGCCTTTCATCTGCAAAACTATGAGAGAAGCCATCTGAGCTGTTTGAGTAGAAGACATTAGCATGTAAGCTTCCAACCTGACAGACCTGGATGCATTCTTGTCAGTGCAGAAGACCCTGTTGGGCGTGGCAGAGAAGCCAAGTCCTATGCCCCAGCTATGCCTGCAGCTTATGGCCTGGTCGTAGTCCTGCTGCAACTTCTGCTGCAGGGTGTTGGCTACTGCCTTGCTGAGGGCCATGCTGGGCCTTGCAGTCACGCTAGGGGAGCAGCTGACTGAAGTGGATAGATTCTTTTTTTTTTTATTTTTTTTTTTTTATTCTTTTGAGACAAGATCTCACTATGCAGTTCAGGTTGGTTGTGAGCTCACTTTGTAGCCCAGGCTGGTCTTGAACTCTCAGTGATCCTCCTGCCTCAGCCTCCCGAGCGCTGGGATTACAGGCGTGCGTCACCATGCCCGGCCGAAGGGGGTAGATTCTCAAAGCTATCCATTAGCTTGAGAAATTTCAGTTTCTGTTCCTTGTTTTCAAAACCTGCAGTGTCCCACTGGCCAAACTGGGTTCCCGTCCACTTCCTGGGTTCAGATGCTTCTGTCGTGCCGGACTCCTGATCAGCCTCTTCTTGCAAGGCCTTTCGCTTCACCTGGTCTATGGGCGCCTTGTTCATGTTGCCTTTCTTCTCCATCACCACCTGCAGGTCTGTGTCTAGCTCCGCCTTCCAAGGGTCTACTGCTACCGTGCTCTCTTCTTCTTTTTCTTCCTTTTTCTGAGCCTTTGTTTTCTTCTCCCCCGGGGCCTTAGGGTGCTCTCCTATTGGGATGTACTCTAGCACCTCAGTCCTCACTGGCTTCTTCTTTCTTTTTTTTTTTTTCTGGTACCGGGAATTGAACTCACAACCTCATGCTTGCCAGGCAAGCACTGTGCTGCTGAGCTAAATCCCCAGCCCTGGCTTCTTCTTTCTTTTCCTAGGGCTGGTTCTCCTGGACCCGGAGAGCTCGGGGTGGCCTAGGAGGGTGTCTTCCTCCTGGTGGACTTTCTTCTCCCCCACTTTCCTGCTATGCTCTCTGGAGCTGCCCTGCTTCCATTTCTGTCCCAAGGCTGCCTGCTCCTTGGCCTCCTTCCCCACCGCGCATCTGTACAGAGCATCTCCCGCCTCGCAGAGCCAGGGTCCCGGATGGAGCGGGCTGTGCTACCTTGAGACTTTTTTTCCTTCTTGTGTTTTTTGAGCTTCTTGCCAGCTCTGGTTGCCCCTTCACCTTGCCTGGGCTTGGGGGAGGTCTTTAGCTCTGAGCCCGGTGATGACCAAAGGCAAAGACTTCTTTTTTTGTCTCTCCACTGCGGACTCTGCAGTGGTCAAGCGCCTGCTTCCTGGAGCTGGGTGACTTCTCTCTTTCTGGCTCATTGTGATGTGGGCTCAGATTCTGGGAGCTCACCACAAAAGGTGCTGTGGCCTGTTTTCTTCTTTTTCTTCACCAAGGGCATTCGGGGTGCCTGCTCTCGGCTCACAGTCCTAGAGGGATATGTGGCCCTCACAGAAGTACCAGCAAAATAATTCCCCTCATTTATAATTGAGTGTTGAGTTTCTGGTTCTTTGACTACCTTCTTCTTTTTTTTCTCAGGGAGCCCAAGGCCCAGATCTACTTTCTGGATCTTGGTGATTATTTCTGCAGGACAAACAACCCCACCTCCATGTGAGAGCCCAGTCTTTTTGTTCAATTTATACTAATACTTTATCTTAGTTTTTTGAAAGAAAGCCTGCATTATTATCTCTTTCTTTCTTACTTTCTTTCTTTCATCTTTTTTTTTGGTACCGGGCATTGAACTCACGACCTTGCACTTGTTAGGCAGGTGCTATGCCACTGAGCTATATCCCCAGCCTTTCTTGCGTCTTTTTGAGACGGAGTCTCTTTATGCAGTTCAGGCTGGTTTTGAGCTCACTTTGTAGCCCAGGCTGGTCTTGAACTCACAAAGATCCTCCTGCCTCAGCCTCCTGAGTGCTGGGATTACAGGCATGTGCCACCACGCCCGGCTATGTGTTTCTTTTTTGTAAGAATCTCTTTGGTTTGTGTCTTGTACTTTGAAGGTAATGATACACACTGTAATAACCTTTGTTATTATTGTTTGGTTATGAAAATCTGTTTTGTTTTCTCATAAAGTAAAATGAAAGAAAGAAAAGCACAGGAAGCCCAGGACCCCACTCCCACCAGGCCACAGCTTCCAATGGCCCAGTGTGCTGAGAGACGGCCCCTGATGACCCTTAAAGACATTCATTCAACAAATGTCTGCTGGTGCCAGGGTTGGGGATGCAGAAGAGAAACCCACACAACACCTTGTGATTGATTCCCAGCACCACGACAAAAAAAGAAAAAGTAAAATAAAAAAACTGCCTCCTCTGTGAAGCCTCCCTGACTTCTCTGACAGCTTTTAGTCTGCCAGATGTGGCTTGGCCGTGTATGAGCTGTGGGGCCTGAGGCAGATTGCTTTAGTTCTCTGAGTTGCACTTTGCTCATGTGGACAGTGGGGGCCCACAGAGCCACTGTGAGGTTTCAGCGTGATAACGTATAATACAGCATGTAACAGAGCTCCTGGACATAGTAGGTGCTCAGTAAATGTCTGTCCCTGCTAATGGCCTTTTGGACCATTTCATTCTCTTTTCCATGATTTGACGATCTTTTTTTTTTTTTTTTTTTTTTTTTGAGACAGGGTCTCGCTATGCAGTTCAGGCTGACATTGAGTTCACTTTGCAGCCCAGACTGGCCTCGAACTCGCTACGATCCTCCTGTCTCAGCCTCCCAAGTGCTGGTATTACAAGCATGTGCCACCACGCTTGGCAATTTGATGATCTTATTTGAAATGTGACTATCTCCCCAGTAGCTAGTAGGGTCTTGAAGGAAGGATCCTCATTTAGACCATAAAGGCCCCAAAGCATGTACCCTTGTCACCCTGCCTCCCAGAAGTGTGACCAGCCAGGGATGCGAGGGAGACAGTGTCATTCCTCAGAAGGCCCTGGCTTCCAGGTCTACGTGAGAAAGTCCCTAGCTGACTGCTGTCTGGGGCGGGTAACGCCGGGGTGGTGGGAAAGGAGAGAAGAGGTAGCAGGCACCCGTCTCCCTCCTCAGAGGGCTGACCTCTGGGTTGGTTCTTTTTTTCTTTTTGGTACCAGGAATCGAACTCAGGACCTTGCGCTTGCCAGGAAGGCACTTGTGCCACTGAGCTATATCCCTGGCCCATGGGTTGGTTCTTAACAGCCAAAACAATTGTGTCCCTCTGCCTTCTTACCAGCCTTCCCATCCAGTGACTGCACCTCACCCTCCAAGTCTCAGTGAGCGTGCAGCTCAGCAGCAGAGCACTTACCTAGCACACACCAGGGCCTGGGTTCCCTCCCCAGCACTATCAAAGGGAGAAAAAGTTCTGAGAAAGACCCTTTGCTCCTTCCAGCAGGTAAGAACTGAGTAAGAAGTCACCAACTGTGAAACAGCTATGGCACAGTATCTGCCTGGGCCTTGAGCTCCAGAACTGTGAGCACTAAACCTCTATTGTATATAAACTTCTAAGCCTGTGGTATTTTGTTATAGCAGCATGAAGAGGCTAAGACAGGAAGTAAAGCCACCTCCGTGTAAATTCCAACTTCACCACTTCCTAGCCGTGTGGACCAGCGGCTTTTCCTCCCTGAGACTGCGTCCCCATCCAAATAGGGGGATAATGCCACCTTCACTCGATGCAGCGGGTGACTGAAGTGATGTACCTGACTCTCCTAGGCAGTGGGGACATAGTACGCGGCAGCTGTTACTGTTTTTTGGTACTGGGAATCTAACTCAGGACCTTGCGCCTGCCGGGCAGGCACTGTGCCGCTGAGCTATCTCCCCGGCCCGTTACTGTTATTTGGAGGTACATGTGTAAACACCACAGTTCCAAGTAGTTAAATTGGGGCCTAGGAAATATTTTCCCTGGTAGCAGATGCCCAGTGGCTCTAATGACAACCTATGGGCCAAACTCTCTGCCGGATGCAACTGAGATTAAATGAAATGAGGTGAGGGGCTGGGGATTTAGCTCAGCGGCAAAGCGCCTGCCTGGAAAGTGCAAGGTCGTGAGTTCAGTTCCTGGTACCAGAGAAAAACAAAAACAAAACAAACAAACAAAAAAGATGAAATGAGGTGATTCAGGGCTGCAAAGTGCTTAGACCGGTGTCTAGCGTGCAGCAGGTGGTGCTCTCAAAAATGAGCGTTCTCCCGGGCGTTTACCATTCAGCAGGCTTCTTTATGCAGACTTCAAATGGTTTTAGCACAGTGTAAACAGCTGTGGTTTACAGAGGGTCTTTTTCAGGAATTCATGCTATCCTCCCTATCAAGGAACCCCTAGCTTGGGTAACCACTTTATCTCTGTTTACAAACCTTGTTAGGTTTGGTCTGCCTATTTCAAAGAAAAGTTACTTTTTGACAAGCTTGAATGTGTAACTGGAAAAAGGGATATGATGACTATCAACTCAGAGACGCAGGGTGTGCGGTTGCCATGGAAACAGTGTAATGTAAACTTTATTTTACAGTCCGCCCAGCAGAGTAATTGGTCAGGAGGGAAGGGGAGAAGCTAGAAGCAATTTCCTCCAGAACTAGAAGAGAAAACAATAACTAGGGAAAGGCTGACTGATGCCGAGAATCTTTTTCTGCTCAAGGAAAAGAGAGTTTAAATGTTCGTGTTTCTGATGAGGGCAGGAACGGCAGGACTGGAGCTTGCTTTCCTTCTTGTCTTAATTTTCCTCTGTCTGTAGATTGAAACACGGGGGTGGGGCTGAGGAATGGGGAGAATTAGGAGCAGAGCAAGAAGAGGTGTTGTAACACTAATTAGCACTCCCCGTTAAAAGTTTAGAGCTGCCGGGCATGGTGGCGCACGCCTGTAATCCCGGCACTCAGGAGGCTGAGGCAGGAGGATCATTGTGAGTTCAAGACCAGCCTGGGCTACAAAGTGAGCTCAAGGCCAGCCTGAACTACATAGTGAGACCCTGTCTCAAAAACAAGACAAAAAAAAAAAAAAGTTTAGAGCTGTAGGGTGGCGGTGTGGCTCAGTGGTAGAGCTGCTTGTCTAGCATGCATATGGCCTGGGATCCCATCCCAGCACCAAAAACAAACAACAACAAAGACCAAAAAATAAACAGAGAGTGTATAGGGCTAGGAAGACACCACCTTTGGCTACTAATAAAAGCTGTGTATAAAATGAGCGTGGTGGGACACACCTATAATCCCAGTACTTGGGAGGCTGAGGCAAGAGGATCACTGTGAGTTCAAAGCCAGCCTGAACTATGTAGTGAGACCCTGTCTCAAGAAAACAAAACAAAATGAAACAAAACAAAACACAACAAGCCTTGAATAAGGGCTTTTGTTGCTAAGGTGCTATCAAGCCCCTAGAGATAGTGAGATACACATCCCAGGAAATTATAGACTGTTGAGAGATGAGTAAGTTAAAAGATACTTTCTATTCTAACCAGAGCTCTAAGTCAAGATCAGGCTAGCCACAGAAAATGATATGTAATTATTATGACTTTAATAATAATATAGTATTTTGATTACTGCTAGCAAGCCTAGCAGGAATAAATAATAGTTAAAAATTAGTTGCCTGGCATGGTGGTGCACACCTATAATCCCCGCACTCGGGAGGATGAGGCAGGAGGATCACTGCGAGTCTGAGACCAGCCTGGGCTACAAAGTGAGCTCAAGGACTGTCTGAACTGCATAGTGAGACCCTGTCTCAAAAAGACAAAAAAAAAAAAAAATTAGTGAAGCTGGGTGTGGTGGTGCACACCTGTATTCCCAGAACCCCAGGAGGCTGGGGCAGGATCATAAATCTGAGCCCAGCCTGAGCAATTTATGGATTTAGAGAGAGCCTCTCTCAAAATAAAAAGGGCTGGGAATGTAGTTCCGTGAGAAGGGCCTGGGTTCAATCCCCAGATATGCCAAAAAAAAAAAAAAAAGGCGTGCATGGCGGCACATGCCTGTGATCCCAGCACTCTGGAGGCTGAGGCAGGAGAATTGTTGAGTTCGAGGTCAGCCTGGGCTACAAAGAGAGTTCAAGTCCTGCTGAACTGCATAGTGAGACCCTGTCTCAAAAAGAAAAAAAAAAAAATTAGTGATATGTGGTTATTTGTAGTAAGCTGATGCTTTCATTAGTGTTTCATTGGTCTTTTTAAAAAACAATTAAATTTCATTTATTTAGATCTTTATTTATCTCAGTGTCCATTATGTTCAAGGCACAAACCAGACATGATCTTTACCTTCAACTAGCTTGCATTGTAGGTGGGGAGACACATCTATGGAAACATCCTATAATAGTTCTGTTAGCTAACAATCATGGAACCCTTATCATAGGCCTGGCACTAGGCTAACCACTTATTGTATTGACTCATTTATGTCTTTTTTTTTTCTTTTTGAGACAGGGTCTCACTATGCAGTTCAGGCTGGCCTTGAACTCACTTTGTAGCCCAGGCTGGTCGTGAACTCGCAATGATCCTCCTGCCTCAGCCTCCTGAGTGCTGGGATTACAGGGATGCACCACCACGCCCTGCTGTATTGTCTCATTTAAACTTCAGAGCAACCCTATCAGATAGGTGCTAATAGAATCCTTATCTTTCCTATGGGAAATGGAGCCACAGGTTTGTGAAACAACTTGCTCAGGGTCACACAGCTAATAAACAGTGAGGTTCCAGCACCTAACTATCAAGCCCCTGCCTGCTACCAATCAATGAGCTGCTATTTGAAGCTACCTTGGACAGAGGCCATTCATTGGTCAGGAATTTGGAAATATCCAGCTGCAGAAGTGGCTGGAATGGCCAGAATTCAGAACAGAAGTCCTCAGGGTTCAGAGTGGCTTCTGGGTTAAAACAAGCCCCTCTGCTCCCCAGTTTGGAGCTCTTGCTGCCGCTCTGCCTCTTTCTCAGCTCAGCATACTGAGAGCCCAGGAGCTGGAGGGAAAGGAGACTGGACCGGCTGGGCGTGGGCCACGGCTGCTTGCAGGATCCCAGGAGGAGGACAGTGCCGAGCGCCCGCGGCTCTGGGAATGAGCAGGGGCAGAGGAGAGAACCGTAGGAGGCTCTGGGGCAGCGGCATCAACGTGGCAGCCCCGGGTCCCACTTACCAGTGAGCTTCTGTGTGGCCTCAGGCAGCCTCTGTCTCCTCCCTGGGCTTCTTCTCCTCCTCCTGGTTATTCCCTCTGCTTCTAAGCCTTGATGTTCCAATCTGTAACGCCCGGTTCTCTTCACTTCCTGCCAGCCCTTCCCAGGCGCACAGGCTCCACTGCGTACTGGGTCGGCGTCCCCAAGCACAGTGCCACGTGCACGCAGTGGTCCTTCTTCTACGCCGTCTGGGCCACCGGGCAGCTCCCTGAGGGTCCCAGCGCGGGACTCAGTGACGCAGCCTGCGAAGGGTGGATGCAACTATTTCCCTGCAAAATAATTAGAATTGGCTGACTGGGCATTGGCAGCCTCAGCTGTTGGGGCGGCAGGTGCTGCTTCGGTTATTTCTGCAATAATGAATGCCTGAGCCTGGCTAATCTCGCTTGAGGTGTGAGGAGCAGGAGAAAGGGGGGTTGCTGCCTCCACCTATGAGGGACCTGGAGCATTATTTTTATAAACTGGGCCTTGGAGCCTTGGCTGAGGCAGCCCTTTCTTTGGTGCTCTTCTGTGTTCAATAAAGCACATAGTCTACCCGTCTTCCTGCTGAACTGGGTCGTGTTAGCCCCCTCAAGGACTACTCTAGTATGTTCTCCCTAGAGGGTTTACATGTTGAATCTGCCAGGCGCCAGGCTCACCACCAGCATTTCCACTCACAATGTCTCACAGAGAGGGGCTACATCACTGTCACACCCATGTTCCAGATGGGGAGACTGAGGTTCAGAAAGGTTAAGTCACTTCAGGTCTGATCCTTTAGGTTGGATGTGGCAGAGGCAGGGGATTGAAGGCCAGTCTCTGGGATCCTGGTGTTCTTTTGGCAGTGGTGGGGAAGGAACCCAGGACCTTGTGCATATTAGGCAAGTGCTCTACCTCTGAGCTCCAACCCCAGCCCAACCCTGATGCTCTTAGCTAAAAACCAAGTCAATCCACACAGCCCATAGGTCGTAGGTCACCCTGCTGGCTGGAAATCCCACAGGACCACTTGAGATTCAGCCCGCCCCTTTGCTCTGCATGAGAATGACATGTACGGGGCCATTGCCGGGGAATGAAGCCCACGGAGGAGCTTCTCTCTAAAAATACCAAAGATGGGGCTGGGGGTGTAGCTCAGAGGCATAAGCACCTGCCTGGCAAGCACAAGGTCCTGAGTTCGATTCCTGGTACCAGAAAAAAAAAAAAAAGGAATTAAAAATACCAAAGATATGACTCTCAGAGGCCCCAGCAGCTTTCCAGGGACGTGAGGACACGCAAGGGGACAGCCAGGCCCAGTCTGCCTCCTGAGGGCAGAGGTGCCCCTCCTCACCCCGCTGTCTGGTTCCCATCACACGTCCTGAAAGAGGTCCCTAAGTCCCTCTCAGACTCGGGGAGTCTGTATGTTTGTTGCCTAACAGAGAGGCGGGAGGAGGGCAGAGCCTGTCAGGTAAAAACACAGACACTGAAGTTTCTAAAGACAAAGAAGGCAGCACCCACCCTGCCGCCGCAGGCCTCAGGAAGACCAGGGCAGCTCCTCCTGCCATATCTGAGGCACTAAGAAATGCGGTGAAAATCTGCAGGCCAGAATTAACCCCAAAGTTATTCAGAAAGAAAAAAAGGGAGGGAGAGAGGGACTTATTCTTAATACTAATTTCAAATCATGGCAGTTACATGTGTAGTTTTTATTTTCTGAGACAGGATCTCATTCTGTGTAGTTCAGGCTGGACTTCTATTTACTATGTAGCCCTGCTCGACTTCCTGAAGGCTGGTATTAGAGACATGTGACATCATGCTCGCCTAAGATTTTCTTTTTTCAGTTCCTAAACAAGTGAGTGCGTGTGTGCGTGTGTGTGTGGTGCTGAAGGTCAGCCCACAGCTTCCCATGTACTAGGTGTGTGCTTTACTGCTGAGCTACACCTAGAGCCCCTGTATTTTTTTTTTTTTTTTTTTTGAGACAGGGTCTTGTTAAGTTGCCTAGGCTGGCCTTGGACTTGTAATCTCCTTGCCTCAGCTTCCCAAGCATTGGGATTATAGGTGTCACCACATCCGGCATCCCCTGTAATTTTTAAAGAAGTAGTCAGTTGGCACAATTAAAGATTCCAGAAGTACACAAGAATGTTCAAAGATGGGCCAGTGTCCCACTGTCCCCTACAAAGCCACAGTGCTGCCTTTCTTATACATCCTTCTGGAGCTGTTAAGCAGATGTGCACATGTGCAGGGCCTCCAATTTTATATGACATAACATGTGTATCATACCTGTAATATATACTGCTCTGTACCCTGCTTTTTTTTTTTTTGTTTTACTAAATACCATGCTGAGCGCCCATTCATATCCACATACAGCATTTCATTTTTAGTAACAGTCACATGCTATGTGAGGTATGTGAGGACTAATGCAGTATATTCTGCCTTTTCTCACTGATGGTTGCTTTTTGGGTTTTTTTTTGTTTTGTTTTGTTTTTTGCTTTTTGCTGTTACAAAGAGTGCCTCAGTGAATCTCCACATATACATTTTTTACGTTTTCACCTTTATTTCCACTTTCTGAATAGAAATTATTTATGCTTTGACTTTTAATAAATAGCTCCAGATTACTTTCCCTAGAATTGTAGCAATTCAGTGTTAATTAATACTTTTCTAAATGTTATTGTTTAAGTGTTTGCCAGTGTAATGAAAGAAAAATGGTATCTCCTAGTTCTTTTTTTTTTTTTTTTTTT